ACACACACACACACACACACACACACACACACACCCACACGGAAGAAAATATTTAAGCAATCGCGGCGTTTGACACATGCTGACAATAGTGATTACCAGCAGTTAATAGGCAATCGCGAGCCAGTCACCGGCGAAATTAGTCGAGAGAGACGAACTCCCGGCGATATCTGCAGGTGTTCAACGCACCGTTGATGAACTGCGCTGATAGCATGGTCGCCGCATTAACACACCTGAGCAGGTAACGAGCACGACAGGTGGCGCTGTCGGCGGCGGCTCTCGCGAGCCAGGAGAAGGCGCATGTTTAAGGAGAGTTAGGGCGTATATGTACGCGGGGGAGTGGTGGAGGCAGGGTAGCGTTTGTGAGGAGTTGTTGAGGAAGAGTAGTGTATTTAGGCGAGTTGTAGGAGCAGGGTAGTGTATGTAGGGGAGTTGTGGGAGCAAAGTAGTGTATCTAGGGGAGTTGTGGAGGCAAGAAAGTGTATGTAGGGGAGTTGTGGGAGCAGGGTAGTGTATGCAGGGGAGTTGTGGGAGCAGGGTAGTGTATGTAGGGGAGTTGTGGAAGCAGGGTAGTGTATCTAGGGGAGTTGTGGAGGCAGGAAAGTGCATGTAGGGGAATTGTGGCGGTAGGGTAGTATATGTGGGGGAGTTGTGGAGGCAGGGTAGTGTATGTGGGGGAGTTGTAGGAGCAGGGTAGTGTATGTAGGGGAGTTGTGGGAGCAGAGTAATGTATGTAGGGGAGTTGTGGAGAATCTAAATTTTTATCATCTTTATTATTATTATTATATATATATATATATATATATATAGTTAATATATATAATAATATATAAATACCTCGACCACTGCCTTTATTAATGTTCCGAATACTTCGAGAAGCAAACTTTGGATTAATTTTCGACAAGACTCAGCGTGACATATTAGTACGCCTCGCGACGTCACGTCATGACGTAATGAGACCGCTGCACGTTTCCTTTCGTCACAATATTATAGAGGTCGAGCGTTTCCTTTCGTCACAATATCATAAAGGTTGAGAGTTTACTTTTGTCACAATATTAATGCAGAGGTTGTTGTCGTCGGAGTGTACGCGAGGAGAGGCGTGTCACTGCATGCGGTACATACGTAGGTGGTACATGTCTCGCAGTATTTAACCCTATTGTGGTATAGCATACATTCTACAATGTAAACATGCTGGCGTGACAGGCTTGTTATCGCGGGTAGGTCGATTTTAGCTGCACGGTGGATGATCACCGATACCACAATAGACTCATTCTAGAACATTTATGTTAATATTAATGATTCGCTATTATTTTGATGAGTCTCGGAGCACGACATCACATAGGTTAATGCCTCACTGCTGCGAGAATACATGTAAACGTGGGGGTGAGAGAAGGTATGCGGAGACATTGTCACATCAGACGATAAAGGTGATGAAATATTTTGATTGATTAATGATTGCTGATCAGTTCGATTTATTTCGAATCTGTTTTAACGTGTCGATAACTTCTCTCGCTGGGTCCTCTCGGCTCCCCTAGCTCCTCTCTATTTCTCCATTTTATACACTTAAGTTTGATATTGTTCAATATTTAAACTCACAACAAGAGTTGTTGACGCTCTTTCCAGTGCCCGCGATCCAAACACATTATAATTACAGTTCAAACAAATTACGAACGCGTTATCAACAATCCCTCTTAATTGGGTCATTACCACGCGTGTTAAAATCACCATTACTCGTGCTACACACACACACACACACACACACACACACACACACACACACACACACACACACACACACACACACACACACACACACACACACACACACACACATACACACAGACACACACACACACTCAGCCGCACGCCAGCTTTCGGTGATCCTCTAAATAGATGTTCCACCAAAAAAGCAGAACGACACAGCGGCGCTTTGTGGGCGCAGAGCAAACGGAGCACGCGACACACATTCTAACAAAAGCGCAGCGGTTCGCGTCTAGAAAAAACATTGCCGAGCTGCTGGTAGCCGAGCGTCAGGTGCCTGCGTGGCCGGTCTACGCAAATTAATGCCGCGTACGAAATTCCACGCCGAGCGCATTGCGTGTCATCAATATCATTGCGTTCCGCGCCGTGATGTATGCGATGGCACGATGATGACACGGGCCGAGCGAGAGTTAGAGCATGAAGTAGCCGATACTTTACGGATGCGTTAGTAAGGAACATCATGATATGAGGTGAGACCCATACAGCTGGGGCGGTGAGCGTGACTCACAGTTTTAAGCGGAGAGGGGGGTGATCAACCGCGCGCGCGTGACCGCATTTGTTTTTAGTAGGTTTTCATTGGTAATGGGCGTATAATTATATAATTTGCAAAAATAATTCGTTCGCACTCTGCGTCGAATTGCAATAATATTTATTGCTATTTGATTTTTCCATTTGACAAGTGTCCTTTTTTCTACACGTGTTAGCGGGAATTTATTATATATATATATATATGCTATAATGCTTTATAATATATATATATATATATATATATATATATATATAAAGCATTATAGCTATAGTAGCTCTTTTTACTGGGCCGTGCACTATTATACTACGCCGCGTTTACACGCTAGGCAAAGCAAACAGGCACGCTTACATCTCCCAATTTACAACACGCGTCCCTATAGCAAGAATAATTTGTTGAAATACGTGATTGTCTTACACGTAAAATATCATCAAACAATAGAAAGCACCGTAAATAAATAACGATTATATATCTCTTCCCCGCCTTCCTCCCTCCTCTCGTCTCTCTCACTATTTACTTCACTTTCCCTCTCCCTCTATGCTTCCCTCTCCCTCGCTACTTTCTTTCTATTCTCCCTCTCTGATGTCTCTCCCCTTTTCTATCCGCCTTTCTCTCCCTTACGCACGTTAAATTTCGCGCTAACACAGACCGTTTCCCCAAACACGTCTGTGACATGACCAGGCTAGGCTGTCCAGTAAATTCTCGTGATTAACACGTGAAAGAAACTACGCAACGAGAAATCACTGTTGATATAGGACTGTTTTTTTCGAAACAGCTCAAATTTCTCTTACATAGAATAGGATTTTTCTAACTATCTTTATAGAATGGTCATGTCTTATAAAACCCATCTTTCTCCTAGACTTGTTATGCGACTGCAGTTACTCACCGGGGAAGCGATGACGTAGGAAGCGGCCATGTTGCGCCAGCAGCCACGAGAATGGCGGCATCTGATCGCGCTGGTGAGGCAGCGCCATCTGGTGTCCCGGATGCGCCGCCAGCGCCGGATGCGGAAACAGCGGGTGTGGAATGTGCAGCGGATGTCCGCCGCGCTGGTGCTGCTGCTGTTGGCTCTCCCGTGGAGACAGACACAGCTCAGAGGCGCGCAGCCCGGCTAGAGGATTCAATAGCGCCATCGTCGACGCCGCCAGTCCCTGGTTGAAGTTGCCATGGAAGGACGCCGCCAGCCCAGCAGCGCGGTCGGCGGCGGTCGTCATGGCGACGCCGCTGCAGCTGCTGTCCTTCATCAGAGACTCGATGGTGAAGCCGAGTTTGGGCTTCGCTGCGACCGGCGTCACTGGCATCATGTTGTTATATATCATTATACTCTATCACGCGACGACACTGACGACGACGATGACAATGACGATGGCGACGACGAAGCACGCAAAAGCGGTCGCCGACGATTGTCTTCTACGTCGGCCGAGTAGCACACGTCGGCGTCGGCGTCGGCGTCGGCGTCGGCGAGTCTAGTTAACTTGGTCTAGTACTTCGTCGAACGTAGGATACCGGCGATGGTGGCGCCACGTCCGCCAGATACTCACGTGGTGTTCACAGGAAATCTCGCGTCTGTGCGAAGTTCACAAAGAACCTGCGCGTGGTGTATGAATACTGTTCACACAAAGAACTTCATGTTATGTGAAAACAGTTCACATAAAGAAGTTCGTCGTGTAGCAATACTGTTCACTCGGAACCTCGTGACGTGTGTGACGTTCACAAGAATCTTTCCGTTGTGTGTGAATACTGTTCACCGAGAACCTCGCGCCAGGTGTAAATAATGTTCACTCGTAGTGTATGAAGACGGTTCGCTCGCGTTGCCTGCTGTTCAATGAGATATGCCGCGCGTGTAAACACGAGTGAGGGTGAGACTGTTCGCGTTCACATGTGCCTTCGTGATCCGCTACGGACGATGTGACGGTGCGTGGCTACCGAACCACGGTATACATCTATCACCAGCCGGCCTCTCCTTCTCCTCCTCCTCTTCCTCCTCCTCCTAATTCCCTCCCCCCTCACCACCACCGCTCCGCTGCACATGCACATACACTGCGCTACCGAGCGCGTCTGCTAAACCTTTGCATGCGCATGCGCGCGTGCTACGCCCCGCCCACTGGCAGCGGACCCGGCGCGCTGATTCGTCGGTGGGCGGTGCGGTATGGTGCCGAGTGGAATAGACGTTGCCGTGAGCGCGCGCGGGGCGAGTATAATACGCTTAACGATACTTCACGCCGCTGGATGCATCGGGGTAAACAAACTTGGCCTTGGGTGCCGCGCGGGTATGGAGAGATCAACGCATCCACGAGAGAGAGAGAGAGAGAGAGAGAGAGAGAGAGAGAGAGAGAAAGAGAGAGAGAGAGAGAGCGAGAGAGAGAGAGAGAGAGAGAGAGAGAGAGAGAGAGAGAGAGAGAGAGAGCAGAGGCGGAGCGAGAGAGAGAGAGAGAGAGAGAGAGAGAGAGAGAGAGAGAGAGAGAGAGAGCGAGAGAGAGAGAGAGAGAGAGAGAGAGAGAGAGAGAGAGAGAAAGAGAGAGAGAGAGAGAGCGAGAGAGAGAGAGAGAGAGAGAGAGAGAGAGAGAGAGAGAGAAAGAGCGAGAAAGCGCACACGTCTG